TTGACACAGCAAAGAAATGGAAGTTATGGAAAAGAACCAAATGGAGAATATAGGATTGAAAAATACAGCCGGGTGTGGTGGCTCACGCCTGTAATCCCAGCACTTTGGGAGGCTGAGGTGGGTGGATCACAAGGTCAGGAGATCAAGACCATCCTGGCCAAGATAGTGAAACCTCATCTGTACTAAAAAATACACAAATTAGCCAGGCACTGTGGCAGGCGCCTGTAATCCCAGCTACTCGGGAGGCTGAGGCAGGAGAATCACTTGAACCCAGGGGGCGGAGGTTGCGGTGAAATGAGATCACACCATTGCACTCCAGCCTGAAGGTTTGGGCACGGTGGCTCATGCCTGCAATCCCAGCACTTTGGGAGGTCAAGGTGGAAGGATCGCTTGATTCCAGGAGTTCAAGACCAGCCTGGGAAACATAGGGAGACCTCATCTGTACAAAAAAATGAACAAAATTAGCCAGGCATGGTAGTGTGTGTTTGTGGCCCCAGCTACTCTGGAGGCTGAGGTGGGAGGATGTCTTGAGCCCAGGAATGCAGAGGCTGCAGTGAGCTGAGACTGTGCCACTGCACTCCAGCCTGGGTGACACAGTGAGACTCTGTCTTTAAAAAAAAAAAAAGAAAGAAAAGAAAATGGTCAAAGGAAGTTCTCGAAATAGGCTTTGAAGTGCAGAAAGGAAAGAGGAATATCGGACTGATTAAAAATAGGAGTAAAAATAGGAGATTGTCCTTCTTATGCATTTTAAAAATCATCTTTGATGCCTGACACCAAAAATCATGGCATTTGATGTGGTGCTCGATATACGTAGAGGAAAGACCTAATGAAAATTTAAAAGTGGGGAGAGAAAGAGACCTAAGTAAAGGTGATGTAGGTAATGTTCTTGCATTTCATTCAAAATGCTGAGCTGATAGCCTCAGACCATGGTACGTTATGCAGTCATGTAAGTATGCAACCATGCAGTGTGAACGATGGGGATACGTCCTCAGAAACGCATCAACTGGGCGATTTCGCCATTGTGCGAACATTATAGAGTATACTCACACAACCCTAGATGGTGTCGTCTGCTGCACACCTGGGCTATGTGGTACAGCTGATTGCTTCTAGGCTGCACACCTGCACAGCACGGTACTGCTCTGAGCACTGTAGTAATACCATTGTGCAAAGGTTGCACAACGGTAAGTACTTGTGTATCTAAACATATCTAAAAACAGAAAAGGCATAGTAAAAATATGGAGTTGTAACGTTATGGTACCATCATTGTATATGTGGTCCGACATTAACTGAACCATCACTATGGGGTGCACGGCTCTATTGTAATACCCAGTGTCTGTGTGTCTGTCTCTCTCTCCCTCGCACACACACGCTCTCTTTCTTTGCCTCTAGTGGCAAAAGGTATACCTTCTCTCCCCACTCCCCTAATTGAGGTTCCTTTTTGCTCACCTTGAGAGTGGGGGAGGGAGTCTGAGACTAGGGCAGGAAGGATGCTGTCTCACGTCCTCCATGACTGAGTGGACAATTTCTGCATCTGGGTGGCCCTGTCCCCACCCACTCCCTCTCCTCTTTGGTCTTGTAAAACATTTTTGGCTGTCATTTCCCAATCCGAAGAGGGAAGCTTGCCCAGTGGATGGTGAATTGTAGGAACTTGGGGGAATATCTGTGCCCTGGGTTTTCCTCTGGGGAAGTGTCTCTCCCCTTCTTAGTCCTAGCATCCCACGAGGGCTGATTCTATAGAAGAGGACACAGCCCAGTTGGTCAGAGCCTCCTGTGCCCAGCTGGGATGAACAAGGGACACAGGAAGGATCCCTGGGACCCAATCCGGGGCTCTTGCTGGAGTTGTTGGTAAGAGAAGAGAATTGCCCATCATCTCAGCTGAGGCTGCTGGGGCCATCTTGTCACTGCAAAGGGAAAAGATGCTTGAAAACGGACAGACAGACGATGCCTAGTGTGGTGCCGGTTCCCAGATCCTGCATGCCTGAAGCGCGGCACCGCCTGGCCTTCTCAGTAAGGTGAGCCAATAAGTTCCCTTGTTTTTCCTACCTCAAGTCAGTTTGAGTTGTGTTTTCTGTCACCTGCAACCACGAGAGTCCTAATGCTGGAGTGTTGGGTTCCAGCCTCCTTCTTGGATGAGATGCCTTTCCCAGCCCCTGGGCGCTTTGCCAGAATCCCCAGGAGTCAACAGGCCTTGAGGCGATGAAAAGGATCTCACTGTACAGATGCAGAAACGGCCGGAAGAAAGACGGGATTCACTCAAGGCCTCCCCTGCCCATGGGATCTTTTGAATTCCATTTTGGACTCCCACCAGCAGAGAGTCTTGTTCAACAGAAACGGTTTTTTTGCCCCGGCCCTCTCTCATTTTTAACTCCATGTCAGTGGTGTGGGCCTAAAGCTGGGCTTGCCAGACAAAACACAGGACACCCGGTTCCATTTGAATTTGAGATCGACAATGAATAACTTTTTAGTGTACATATGTTCCAAATATTGCATGAGACACATTCCTACTAAAGAAATGCATTGCTCATCTGAAATTCAAATGTAGCCCTGGATGCTGTATTTTTATGTACTTGGCAACGCTATCTAAAGCAGTGACAGGGGATGCAGGAAGAGGGCAAGGCTACCTCTTTATGAGGACCAGGGGAAGAGTCGGGGTAGGGTGGGTGCTAAGAGGCAGCCTCAGAAAAATAATCTTCCCCATCTCCTGCCGGAATGCCCACATCACCCACAGTTTGTCATCAGGGCTTTGCAGCTGCCAGGTCAGTAAAAATGTGGCCTGGAGAGCAAACATATTAACCATCAACAGTCTAGTGTGAATTAGTTTATGTACATTTACTTGTTATCCATATACTGTTATTCCTTCCCTGTGCAGAAGGAAGAAGACTCCAGAGAGGGAGGTGCTGATAAGCCTCTTTCTTCATTTTCTCCCTGAAGTGCTGGTCTCAGAGCACAAAGGATGGAATCTGAACTGGTTCCCTGTGGTTCCCTGCACATAAGAACCACAGGGGAGCTTTTGAAAAAAATCCCAGTGCCCAGACCACACCCATCCCCATTAAATCACAATCTCAGCTGGGCACAGTGGCTCATACCTGTAATCCCAGCACTTTGGGAGGTCAAGGCAGGAGGACCACTTGAGCCCAAGAGATCGAGACCAGCCTGTGCAACATAGCAACACCCCATTGCTACAAATTAAAAAAAAAATGAGCTGGGCCTGGGTCGGTCGTCCCAGCTACTTGAGAGGCTGAGGCAACAGGATCCTTTGAGCCCAGGAGGTGAAGACTGCAGTGATCGGTGATTACACACTGTACTCCAGCCTGGATGACAGAGTGAGACTGTCTTAAGAAAGAAAGAGAGAGCGAGAGAGAAAGAAAGACAAAAAAAAAAAAACCCAGAATCTCCATGAGTGGGTTCCAGCTATCATCTTTTTCCGGTGTGCAGCCAAATTTGAGAACCAGTGGACATAATAGCTCAGGACAGATCGTTTGCTCCTTGGTGAGGGTTGCTGTGGATAGGCAGCTGACTCTGTGTCAGGCATCCCGCAGACATTATTTCACTGGATTCCTGTATAGCCCTACCATGCAGACCCTGTTAACCTCATGTCCAAAGAAGGATGCAGGCTCAGAGAGGTGATGTGACTTACTCAAGGTCACACAGCAATCAAAGGGCCCTGCTCACAGCCCCTGAGCTGCCTCCAGGCCGTGTGGCTCCAGGTAAGTACCTTTCCTGCCTTGCCCTGCCACAGGTAGAGAAGGTTGTGTCCACGAGCATCATTCAGCCCTGCCTGCCAGCTCTCTAATCAGCATGGTTACATGACGAGGACACCAAAGAGTGAGAAGAGCATCTTGATTGGCAAACGGAGACAGGGAATGGCCCAAGGGTCAACTCTCGGTGTCCTGGGGCATGTCATCAGTGAGAATGACAAGTGGAGGTCCCCTTTACTGAAGAGCGGGGAGGCTTCACCTGAAATAGCCTTTGTAGTCTTCAACAATGACATTACCGCCCTCACTGCCAACGTAAGTACCTGGGAACTACTGCCCTGAGAGACCCAACCCTCCTCCCCGACTCCCTCCACCATCCCTAATCGCTGGCAAACACTCACTTGGAGTTGTGTTTCATGCACACGTTAGTGTCTGGTTGCACCTGCTCCTCCTTGCACTCAGGATGTGGACCCACACCTGGTCACCCTGACCGCTAATTCTTGCCTTCCCAGCCTGCCTTGCAGCTGGGGCTGGCCTGGTCCTGCGATGCAAACCTGGTTCATAGGATGTAACCGGAATTTGCTGAAAGGTTCTAAGGAAGTGTTGGCTTTCTTGATGAGAGAGGCCCAGCCCAAAATGATTCCCTCTCGCTGAGTACAGGGCGCTCAGCTGAAGCCACAGCAGCCCTGCCGAGACAAGGTCCCAGCATGACAGGGACACCAAGGGAATCACAGAGGGCAGAGCTCAGGTGTCACTGGGCCATTGGGCCCCTCTGGATTTGCGGCTGGGCAAAAAGAAATCCTATTCGCTCAGGTCAGTGGTCCTCCGTCAAGGGTGATTTTGCCCCCCAAGGACATGCAACAACTTCTGGTGGTACTTTGGTTGTCATAACTTGGGGGTTGCTATAGGCATCTAGTGGGCGGGGGCTGCTAAACACAGGAACATCTTCCCCTCAGTGAAGAGTACTGAGGGTGAGGGGCCCTGACTTAGGCCACTGTTCCTTGGTGTTTCTGTTTCCTGCAACCAAAAATACTCCTGGCAGAGAGGCCACCCTAACCACTGAGATTGCTAGAGAGAAGGTGGTCTGAGGAGGCCAAGTCCCTAGACATAAGGAAAGGGCAGGACAGCAGGGTCCAAACCAACCTCCACCACTAGAGCTGGCTGGCCCAAACCTGTTGAACTTCCCACCCGAGCTTTTGGTGTCAAGGGCAAACACACCGAGGGTTTCCTCCCGTGGGCGGCGCTGCTCCCCACCAGCCCCTTCCCCACTTTCCCTAACATTCCAGGCGGATAACAGAATGCAACTTTTGATACAAACAAACTCCATTTTAATGTACAAAACAAACCTCACTTACATACATAAATATAATTTGGGGGCATAAATAATGTAAGAAAATAAGAGATGTACATATCAAAATAAATTACTCATAAATATCATGTTGGAAAACTAAGTGCTGGGGAAAGGGTTCTAAGTCTTCCCCCGCTGCTTCCACACCGCAAGTTATTGACAAGACTTGGGGTCTTCAAATCTTTTCTTTTCCTGATTTTTGAACGAGAAGTGCAGGTTGACATAAGGTGGGGGGCCTGGGAAGCCCCAATCCATGGGGAGACATGTGAGGTGGGCAGAGGGCTGGTGGGCTGGGGGATGGAAGCAGGTGACACCGGAGACAGCAAGTTATTCTCAGGACAGCATCCATGACAGAACTGGCCTCAGGGGGAATTCTCAAGATGTCCCAGGGCTGGAATGGGGCTCTGGGCTTCCCCTACTCCTGAAGCCTGGTGGGCCATGCCTGCTCCAGTCAGTTCTGGCCTGGAGGGGTTTGGGAAGGGCAAACGGTCTCTGGAAATAGAGATATAGATCAATTCCCACATGGGGTTGAGTGAAATGTACGTGCTGTTTTACAGAGTGGATCACCTGTTCCTGAAATTTAAATCACTGCCTGTCTTCCGGCTGCTCCTGGGGAAGTGATGAGAAAAAAATTAGAGAATTTCAGCTTGACATAAGAATTTTTCCAAAGGAAGTGAGTTCCCCATCAGTGGAGGTATTCAAGCCGGACTGAGACAGCACAGCAGCTTGTCCAGCAACCTCGAGGGAGCAGAATGGGGGCCCGGGCAGCAGCTGGGCAAGCTACAGGCTTACAATGTTATGATCAGACAAGTCTATTGGCTAGAAACTGGCACGGCCAATGGAAAACTCTGAATATGTACAACTTCTAGATGTTTCTTCCTAAAGCTAAACAGAACGTGGACTCGGGACTGCTCTTGTAGAAGCACGGCCTCCACTCTGCAGGTACCACAGCCCCTGGCAGCAGTGAAGAGGCCCGGGCATGGCCTCAGTTATTTCTCAAAGCTGGGACTCCTCACCGCCTCCAGTCCGGTGACAAGCCCAAATGGGTCCATGCTGTCAGTCTCCAGGGGCGAAGAGAACATGTCAGACTCCAAGTGGCCCCTGAGGTCCTCAGGCTCCTCTGGGGCCATGGGCAGCATGGGCAGGAAATGAGAGAGCGGAAGAAAGCCTCTGTTCTTGTACAGCTGCCGCTGTTTGGCGCTGCTCAGGGAGACCGGGAGGCGGTGCTTCTGGGATCGGTATACATTGTAGCCATCAGGGCGGATCTCCTCCTGGAAAGCACAGTCTTCCTCTGAGTACTGAAGCTGCAGAGAAAACGGGCAGCTCTGAGCAATCCACAGTGGACGGGGAACACGGGTACACATGGACATTTGTGCTGCAGACTGTCCCTGGTGGCCACCAGCAGTGACCTTCCCCATGAGCATCTCTTGCATGTTTTATACATACTTCCTGATGTACACACTGTATAGGTAAGTATATATAAAATATACCTTCATATATATAAGCATATATAATATATAATGTACTTTAAGGCCAGGCACAGTAGCTTACACCTGTAGTCCCAGCACTTTGGGAGACCCAGAGCAGGTGGATCACTTGAATCCAGGAGTTTGAGACCAGCCTGGGCAACATGGTAAAATTCCATCTCTACAAAAAGTACAAAAATTAGCAGGGCATGGAGGTGGGCGCCTATAGGCCCAGCTACTCAGGAGGCTTAGAGGTGGGAGGATGGGTTGAGGCTGGGGGGGTCAAGGCTGCAGTGAGCAATGATCAAAGTACAGTGATCAAAGCAATGATCAAAAATGCAGTGAGCAAAGTACAGTGAGCCCCTGTACTCTAGTCTAGGTTACAGAGCAAGACCCTGTCTCAAAAAAAAAAAAAAAAACAAAAACCCACAACTGTATATATACACAGAGAACACACATATATAAATGTACTGTAAGTATATGTAGTATGTACATTATGTTAATATATAACACATTAATAAATTAAATATATATTTATATACTGTTATAAATTTTTAATAATCTTTATATAGATATACATGCACACAGACAAAACTGAGGTTTATTATTTCATATATGTATATTTTATGTATATACTTAATACTACATATACACTTTATATAGACCCAAATAATTTCCACTAAATTACCTCACCTTTTCCGAGAGCCTTGTCCTGAGCAATAATATCCATCAACCCACAGGAATGCCGTCCGTGTTTCCCTCACCCTTTACATTACATACACAACTCCTGGCATTTACAAAGTTCCTGGGTATTTCACTGGCACTTTGGGAAACACTGATAAACCGGGTTATCATCTGTTATCATCTTAGGATAAGTCTTTTAAATAAATTGTATGTAATCCGATCTGGAGCCCAGATGAAAGCATCTGTTCCCCACCTATCTCAGAAATCACTGTGTGCCTTTATCATTCTAAGGCCTTCTGGTCTGCAGCAGTTCTGAGAACCATCAGCCCCCCTGTCTCCTCCATTCAGTCACCAAGGGCCTTCTAGGCAGGCTGCCAGAATCCGGATCTCAGCAGCCCCTCCCCCAGGTCAGGCCAGGCCAGGCCGGCGCCCAGCTGGTGGCCGGAAATGTGTGCTGAGGGAAGCCAGTCCCTCTTCTTAGAACATTCATAGTCCACAGGGTTGAGAGGTGCCAGTGGGCAAGTGCCATCCCACACAGGTGTCATTACCCCTTGGTGACCCAGGACAGGCGCAGGCAGGAGCCGGAAGGGCTGGGCAGTAAACACACTGCAGGACGGCCTCAGTCAGGTTTCTGCCTAAGTCTGCAAAGGTCACTGAACTGCAGGTGGGTGAGGATGTGCCTGTGCCAATAAGCTCCTGATAAGAGGCTCATTGCAGCAACCCAGGCTCCTGCCGAGCCCACGGATGGCTGGGACAAAGCACTGGACAGCAAGCACGATTTCTCCCAAACATGCCAAATGATAAATAAACAAGGAACACAAAACCGAATAACTGGAGGACCTCCTTCTATTTACTCGGCTTGTCCTTTGGGAGAAATAAGTATTACGTTCTCCATACAGAAGATGAAATGACTTCAAGTTTCTAGAAGAATGTGGAATCTTTATTTAAGAAAGAAAGAGGCCAGGCGAGGTGGCTCACACCTGTAATCCCAGCACTTTGGGAGGCCAGGGCAGGCAGATCATGAGGTCAGGAGTTCGAGACCAGCCTGGCCAGGATGGTGAAACCCCATCTCCACTAAAAATACAAAAAAAACTAGCCGGGCATGGTGGCACGACGCCTGTAGTCCCAGCTACTTGGGAGGCTGAGGCAGAAGAATTGCTTGAACCCCGCAGGTGGAGGTCGCAGTGAGCCGAGATCATGCCACTGCACTCCAGCCTGGGTGACAGAAAGGAAGGAAGGAAGGAAGGAAGGAAGGAAG